TCAAGATGCTACACCATTTACAAGGAACCCAGCACTAGAGGGCAGGATTTCTCTTATTTTCTTCAGTGGGGTGAGGCTCTTGGTCAGTAGTGGATGTTGGTTGTGTAGGACAGTGCATAGGGCACTGTTCTCTCCCCAGCATTTTGGGATTTTAGTTGGAAAGGACACAAACCACAGAATTAGTCCACAGATTGCTGAATCATCCTTGTAGCTTGATTAGATAATGCCACATGCTGCTAATTCTTTGGGATGGGAGCTGTCCCATCCCAAAGAAGCGGTCAGAGACAACAATGAAGTCACTGATTTGGAAGTCTTTGTCCACACCAATGAGGTGGCATTGATTTAGTACAATCAATAAGCTATTGGGGAACATCATATTTTATTCTGTGTAGGATGTACAGTATGATGACACTGCACCTAACTAGCATCTGACTGATAATAAAACCAGCTATAAATAGTAGTTAAAATAAATGTCACCAAGCATGCAGAAGAGGTCAAGTAGATGACTTCTGAGGCAGTTTAGGACTTATTGGGGGCCTATTTATACACACGGTTCTAATAGGCTTCCTTATCTGGTTTCCTAGTTCACCACACATTATAAACAGATTAGAAGGGAAGAGAGGGGCTACAGCAAACAGGGCATTAAAGTTAAAAGTCACATGATGGCTGGTGTCCCAGCAGGAAAGGAAGGAGCACAAAGAATAATCAGCAGGCAGAAGAGTGAGGAGAAAGGAAGGACAAGACAACAGCACACATCTGATGATGGTCACAAGAAACTCCTCTTTGCTCTCACCCAGTCTCATGTTTCCCTGCAACCACCTCATAATTCCACATAGACCAGGCTCAGATTTCTCTCCTGAATTAAGTATCCTATTGCCTTGTGGATTCTAATTCAGCATGCTCAAAGCTCAACCAGCTACACACTCTAACCAATCTGGACCCCATCCTGAGCTACCCATCTCAGGTACAGGTAGCCAGTTGCTCAAGCCAGAAACCTAGGAGTTGTCTTTGATTCCTTTCTCTGCTCAGTCTTCTAACTTTTGGTTATCTATTGAGCAAACATTTATTGAATGCCTCATATGCATCAGGTTCTGACTGGTGTAGAAGTAATCCTATATAATAAAAGGCTAATATGCAAACTGAACAGACGGCAGAATGACCAGTCACTATGCCATGCACTGACCACCAAGGGGCAGACGCTTAACTCAGGAACTGCCCCCTGTTGGTCAGTGTGCAGCTGGAAAGTTCAGTGGTGGTGGCGGGAGCCTCTCCTGCCTCTGTGGCAGTGGTAAGGATGTCCAACTGACGGCTTAGGCCCACTCCCTGCTAAGCCGTCAGTCAGACATTCCCCGAGGGCTCCCAGACTGCTAGAGGGCACAGGCCTGGCTGAGCGACCCCTCCCCCACCCAGCCCCCAAGTGCATAAATTTCATGCACCGGGCCTCTAGTGGTCATTATAAAGCTGCTGTTGCATGGAGGCTACATACTAGTGGGGAAGATACGCAATATATAAATTGAATATATCTATACACATTGATAGAAATGTTATATAGAGAAATGTTTCATTTCATTATGAAGAAAATAAACCCAAGGAATGAAGTAACATGGTGGCATCAGTTTTAGTGGTGAAAAGTGCCAATCAAAGGAAATACTGAGCAAAGGGCACTCCAGGCTCAGGGAACAAGACGTTCCAGAGGCAGGAATGAGCTTTTGTTCCATAAACAGAAAGAAGGCCAGTGCAGCTGGAGATCACTACGTCAAGGGAGATTGAAGTGAGGTCTGAGGGTCTGGAGAAGGGACCTGAATAGGTCATCAGAGTGTGTGTGTGTTTTTCTGATAATAATGGAAAGATATTGAAATGTTTTTTTAAAAGGTGGTCTGGAAAGAATGTTCTGGCATGAGGTAATGTTCTATATCTTGAGAGGAAATTGGTTTACACAGACATATGCATTTTTCAAAACTCACGGAATGGTACACTTAATACTTATACATTTCATTGCATATTCAAAAGGTTAAAAAAAGAGCTATAAACAAATATTAAACAAAAATTAAGGATATCTATGCTGAAACATGTCTGCAATTTATTTTGAAATGGATCAGAAAAATACAATGGAAAGAGATGCAATAAAGCAAGTCAAGCATTAATGGTAGGATCTCAATGGTAGATACATGGTGTTCAGTTTTTCTTTATGTTTAAAAATAGTTATACTAAAATGTTGGGCTAGATGTTTGTCTGGTCTTATCTGATCTACATTTAAAAAGATGTTTCTGGGGCTGAATAGAGAATGAGCCATAGAGGGCTGTTGTGGAAGCAATGAGACAAATTAGCAGCTATAGCAATGATTTGGCCTAGGAAAGTACCACTGGAAGTTGATGTCAGGAGGGAGAGTTGACAGGATAACAGGGAATCTGTGAGGGAAAGAAAGAACAAGGCGTAACTCCTAGTTTTTTACCTGAGTAGGTAGATGGATAGTGATGTCATTATTGGAAATGAGGAGAACTATTGAATTCTGGGTGATAGCAAGAGTTGTGTTACATTTTTGATGCCTATTAAATATCTAAGTGACAACGAAGAGTTGACTGATAGATACATAATTTTGGAGCTCTGGGGAGAGTCAGAGATGGCTGTATACATTTGAGCGAACAATTAGAAACTGCAAATTGGAATAAAGATCTCATCACATTGGATGAGATCACGGGGTGAGGAGGGGTGTTTGAGAATAGAGAAGGGTCCTGAGGGCTTAGCCCTGGGTACTCCAACAACTAGGCTTCTAACAGAAAGAGGGGGAACCAGCAAAGGAGACTAAGCAGTGGATGGGGAGGTAGGAGGGAAACAGGCAATGGAGATGTTATGGTTGCCTAGAAAGACACAGTTAAAGATGAAACAAGTCGTCAATGGTACCACTCTTTGCCATAGGGAATGTCGATAAGGGAGCAGGTTTGTGGTAGGGAAAAGAGAGTACAGTTTCAGATTTTGTAGTAAGATTGAATCTTTCCATTACAAATAAAAGGAACCCAGCCAACTGGCTTCTACCAAAATAAGGTTGGGGAAGGGTATTTTTGCTCATGCAACCCTGAACATTTAAGCGGTAGGCGACTTCTAGCACAACTGGGTCCTGGATGTAGCTGCTGCCATCCATCCAGCTCAGTCTCTCCTGCAGGCTCTCTGTGACGGCCCCAGCCCCACACCCCCCTGCTTAACAACTAGCAGAAAGAGCTGCCTTTCCATACAGTTCTGGCAGAATGGTCCACGGGATGCTGATTGGCTGATGTCTCTTAGCATATTCTTGAGACATTCATTGTTTCTGGGGAGAGTGTTCCCTCACACAGGCTAAGCCTGGGTTGCAGACCAATTCTGATCACAGGAGATGAAAGGGGCAGCCCCTTCAAAGGTTGAGGTGAAAACTTGTCTGATCTTATCTGACCTACATTTTTAAGATATTTTTTTTCTGGGGATTGAATAGAGATTGGACTAGAAGAGCTGTTGTGGAAGCAGTGAGACAAATTAGGGGCTGTGACAATGACTTGGTCTATGATAGCACCACTGCACCATCTGAATGGTTTTCCTATATGATAACAGGTTCCTCCAACCCCAGAAAAAATATGGAGGAAAGCATGCTGGGAGTACCTAGTCTGGCCTACCCCTCGGTTCAAAAGATTGTTAACCTCATTGTCACATAAGATGACAAAAGAATTGCCTATCTCTCTTTGGTATTTCACAGAGCATAGTAGATTCCTGTTTATAATGAGCATCTCAAAATGCTGCATGTTCTTTATCACATTTTTTAATGACTAAAACCCACATGGTCTCTACATTGGGGGGACATGCCAGTACAGAGCTATATAGTGGGGAGCTCAATTCCTTACCTTGGCAATTTAATTAGCCTCACCTTGTTCATACATAAATGGGACGTTTGCATCGAGGAGGGAAAATTAGAGATAACAGGAAAACCGCATAGTATTCATTATGATGGAAGATTTGTTTTGAAATATTTTAACTTTATACTAGTTGAAGGTTTTTGTATTTTATAACTTCTATTTTCATGAAATCAGTTGCAATAAATTATGGTAATAATATTTCCATATATTATTTCCATAATAACAAACAGCCTCTCTTCTTGGAGAAGCTTTAAAATATTATCATTTAATAAAAATCAAGGTGACATAATTAACTTTGAGTTCCATGTTTTGTTTTGTTTTTGTATGTGTGGTTTTTTTTGTTTTTGTTTGTTTGTTTCTGCTTTAGTATTTGCTTTGGTCCACAAAAGCATTTTCAAGAAGTTGGTCAAGTATGGCTTTAGCAGATAAGAGACTTGAGAACCTGCAAATCTACAAATGTCTTCAGTGTGTTCGGAACAAAGACAAGAAGCAGATAGAGAAGCTGACCAGACTTGGTTACCCTGAACTAATCAATTTCACAGATCCTATTGATGGACAGAGTGCTCTGCACTTAGCCTCGGTCTCCAATGACACTGACATGGTCAGCTTTCTCCTTAGCCTTGGGGCCCACCCTGATGTGAAAGACCGAATGGGCTGTACTCCGGCAATGAGGGCTGCAGAACTGGGCCATGAAATGTCCCTGGAAATATTAGCCAAGGCAAAGGCGGATATGACTCTAGTTGACAATGAAGGAAAAGGTAAAAACCCCAACATTCTATCTAGCAGATGCAATCCTTTTTATAGCCAGAAATCAATAAAGTGAAGTTTTTTGCTTTCCAACTTTAGAAGTGAGTTACTCCTGCACCTAAGAATACCAACTCCCTATAATTTGAAAATGTTGTAGGTAAATCTTAGGGAAACCAGATCTGATAGTTTTTTCATATAAAAAATTAGATTAATCTGTTGGGTGGTTTTTCTAAATGGAGAATTTTTAAATGACACACATTAATATTATTGTCATCATAATTATTCATTATGAAATAATGTTTAGACCAAAAGAGGGAGAGCATTTCTTATTCTTTTTTATAGTTTAGAACTGGGAGTAGTACTAGACTTAGGACTTCAGAAGGATTTTGTTTCTTCTTAATAGTCTGATGTAAAAAGGAGTTTGTTATACTTGGGAATCTGAAGGACTAAGGTGGATTCTGGCATAAACTCCAACTTTCTAGGGTCATTTTAAATAATTTGACTTCAAACCTGACACATGGCATTTCTATGATTGTTCAGGTGAGACAGTCCCACTCCTCCACATTGTTCCCCTCCCTCATCCCATCTCAATACCATGGTCCCTGAGCTTCTTGCCCAGATCACCCCAGGTTCCAGCAAGAGTTGACATAACCTCACGAAAATCACTAAGAAAATTACTACTAGGCTTAATATAAATTGGTAGATTTCATCACTTGTCCCAAAGAGTTGCATCAAGTACAAAGCCCTTATCATCAGCCCACAGTAGAGAAATGAATCCAGTTTTATAATGTTAATGTTTTCTAACAGGAACAAAACGTGTTTTTGTAACTCTCTCCAAACAGTCACTTGCTTAAGAGAAAGGAGAGGACAGAGGCAGGAAGAGTTATTTAATTGCTTTCTGGCACCACGTAATAAAGTAAACTTCAGATGCATTCCAGGGTCCAATGTAATTTAAAATGTCATATCCTAAAAACAAAACAAAACAAAAAAACAGAAGCTCCCAAAGCTCTATTGAACATCATTTTCCAAAGTGTGTTTCACAGACCATTGAATCACTGGGATGTTGATAAGTGGTACATGCAACATTGGTTTCACTGTCAAATTCATTGGAGAAACATTGGATGAAATATATTTAGGCATGTTGATTTCACATTTGTCAGACAGACTAAAGATGGTGACATTATCCATATATATTTGACCATAAAATAGTTTTTCCTTATGTCATCTTATTTACCTAGAGTTTTGTTGAATACACTTTGGGAAACACTGTAATGAAACATGTTTACCTCCTTGAGTTTGAAAAAGAGAAATCACAAGGAAAACAGGTGGAGAAATTGTATAGCGTAAATATCTAAAATGGTAAAATTATGGGGGAAGGTCAATTAAGAAAAATAAAATAATAAAATTGTAAAATAAAACTAATCAAGGTGAAATTAGAAACAAGGTCAAGTGAGTATTTGTAGCAAATATTAACAGCCATTAGGTTAAAATTTGAGCTCATTCAAATTAATATTAAACTTATCGAGGTTCTGGAAGTTGAGCATCTGAGAAAATGATATGGCAAATCACATAGGAAAAATTAGAAGTAGAAAATGAAACTTGAAACAAATATAAAATCTTGTCTCACACATACCCTTATTAGCACTGCCCTATATTGCTTTGACTCTAAAGAACCCATTCTGTGCACCAAGTGTCTCATCTTCCCCACATGAATAGACCCAGTTCACCTTGCACATCCCTCAGTTTGACTGCCAATTGCCAAACTGTTTTGCTTATTCCACAGTAGTCTCTCTGCCATTAACATCCTATATTTTGACTCACTGCACATTGTTTCTAAAGGATAAGCAAACATTTAAATGATTAAAAATACTCACTGGAGCCAGAACCGGTTTGGCTCAGTGGATAGAGCGTCAGCCTGCGGACTGAAAGGTCCCAGGTTCGATTCGGTCAAGGGCATGTACCTGGGTTGCGGGCACATCCCCAGTAGGAGGTGTGCAGGAGGCAGCTGATCGATGTTTCTAACTCTCTATCTCTCTCCCTTCCTCTCTGTAAAAAATCAATAAAATATATTTAAAAAAATAAAATAAAATAAAAATACTCACTGGATCCTTAGAAGCATGTGGGACATATTCTACCCCTGCATTGTATTTTCTCTTTGAACCACTTTGTGGAATATGAAGAAGGGAAGGCTTTAAGCCACACCTGCTTGTGACTGTTTTCTATCACAAGTTGAGTTTCTTGTTTGGTTTTTCTATCCTGGTGTTTCAGTTTATTTCAGAGGGAAAACAAAGACAGATATGCCTTTGTTCTATCACTTTAACTAGCTAGTTATGGATTTTAAAATTATCATTTTTCCTTTTTATCTGATTGAAATGTAAAGAAACTATTCATAAGTATTCTTTGGGGATTCTATTTTTCTACAGGTATTTTGTTTTACTGCATTTTACCTACTAAGAGGCATTATCGCTGTGCATTGATTGCCCTGGAACATGGCGCAGACGTCAACAATACTAGCTATGATGGAAAACCGGTGTTCCTTAAAGCTTGTGAAGCAGCACATGATATTAAAGAAATGTGCCTGACACTTTTGGAAAAAGAAGCCAATCCAAATGCTATCAACACAGTATGACTATTCCTGTGATTATAAATATTCATTTTTTTCAATTATAGAGTCTTATCAGTGTAACTTTGGCATTTAGATATGGCAAAATTATTCTGTTAGCTTATAGACTGTTCATTTCTATTCAAAATGCTTTAAGATTATATACTTTCAATACCTTTATATTACCATAATCTTACAGCTTCTTTCCTAATTATGTTTGGAAAATTGGTATTTATTATGCATAAATGTTAAAAGATCATTATAGAAAATACACAAGGTATCACTAAATCCTAATAAAAGTTTATCTTTTTGAAAAGAAAATATGTAGTTATGCTGTATTTTTTATTAATTTTGCTCCCTCTTCTCATTTGGCTAATTTTATTGAATTTTCTTACGTTTTCATAATAATTTTGAGACAAAATCAGATTTTTTTCTTAATAGAAAACACCTAAAATCTAATTTTAGCATATATTTCACTCCCTTTTTTCCCCTTTTTGCTCTACAATCTTTGCAAGAACTGCAGTTTTCTCACAAGAACATCTGGTGTGATCCACTCTGACTTTAGAATTCTACATTTTGGATATTTACCTATTGCACTGGCTTCATTTTTCCTATTTCATGAAACTAATAAAAATGTAGAAAACTAAGCATGTCTGTAACTCTAAGGCCAAATGGATTTAGATCATATTTATATCGAATATGTCATTTAACATAAACAGCATTTCATCTGCTTTATGTCCAGTCCACAGGTCGCACGGCTTTAATGGAATCGGCAAGAGAAGGAGTGGTAGAACTGGTTCGAGGGATATTGGAAAGAGGAGGTGAAGTGAATGCATTTGATAACGAGAGACATCAGGCTGCACATTTTGCTGCCAAAGGAGGCTTTTTTGATGTAATAATCTACTCTTCGCTTTAAAATTTGTTGCTAAAAATTTTCTCTCCTTTTTCTCAAAAATTTTAAATATTAATGTGGGTTACATTAGGGAGATTTTTTTTCTGCATTACTATCTTGATTTCCTTGAATAATTCTAAAATTATATTTTACACCAACTATTATTTTTAAAAACATACAGCTCTTCAATTTTATCTGCTTCCTAATTTATACATGACTAATACTAGTAGTGTTTTTTTCTGTATTCTTAACTATGACAACTTAAAAGTTTTGCCTACTGGGTCTACTGTATTTTATGCACTCCATTACATATTACAATCTTCAAAATATATTATGATCTAATTGTGGGGAAAACAATGTCAACATACTCTTATCACCATGATTATGTGTGTGTATCTTATGACACACCTAAATTGTAAACTCTATTCTGATTATCTGGACATTTCAGCAAAGGTTATCTCATAGGTACACTGACATTGCAGTAAAAAAAAAAAAAAATTAAAAAAGGAAACAAAGATGGCCTTATTTTTTAAAATGATGAATTATATCAAAAATTTCTTTACTCAATTTTCTCTGAGTTTTAACATAATTACCCTTAGTTTCTTCATTGAGTCTCTTCTCTGCAATAAAAATATGCATCACAATAGAAGTTAAATTTGGTAAAGAATTTGCTCCTCTGATGATGTTTGCCATAGTCTGATGCTTTTTAAAATGGCCTAGATTTACCAAAATGCTAGTCCCCCAGCTGAATATAGAGTTTCTTAAACTCTAGCCAGGGGTGGGGAACATCCGACCTGTGAAATCACTTCGTCTGGCCCTGACAAGGCATTAGGGATGAGTTAATTAAGTGTTGGACCAAAGATAGCAGGCTAATTTTAAGGTTGATAATGTTGTATGGCCCTTTGAATAATGTTATAAATATCCAAATGGCCCTTGGCAGAAAGAAGGTTCCCCACCCCTGCGTCAAGGTTGTTTGAGAGCAATTTTGGCAATGATAAAAATGTTGTATGTCTGTATTGTATAATAGAGTACAATACAGTAGCCACATGTGGCTTTTGAGTACTTTAAATATGGCTAGCGAAACTATTTTTAAGATTATTTTCTATTTAATTCATTTTGATTTAATTTTAAGTAATCACATGTGGCTAACATAATGTATTGGCTAGCACAGGTCTAGGAACAATCTTCATTCACTAAATGTACATTCCTATTCCCCTACATTATCCACTGTTTTACAGATATTGAAACTTCTTTATGCCTACAATGGAGATTTGGGACTAATTGGAATGAATGGGAACACACCACTTCATTATGCTGCCATGGGTGGTTTTGCAGATTGCTGTAAATATATAGCTCAGCGAGGTAAAATTTGCCTAGCAATTTTATGCTTAAAGTATTTATGGTTTATCCATGTTGTAGATAAGTAGGGAATTTGGGCCTGTCACTTGTTAGTTGCTTATGTTTTTCAGTAGCCCCAATCCCACTCATGTATATAGAAAGAAAATTGAATTTATTTTCTTACTCTACTTTCTGTTAACTCAGGAGTCTGGTCTTAAAAGTGATAAGAACCCATTTTCCCAAATATTTTTAGATTATTGTTCAAAATCTAATCATGAGTCAACAGATTATTATAAAATGGTTATAGTTATTAAACTCCTTTTTTAAATATATGTGAACATCAATCTAAGCAAGGACAAGCACTGGAAACCATGTCTGTTAATCTTAATCCTTAATTATTTTATTAAAAATATTCTATTGTGCCAAGTGCAACAATAACTTCTGAATGATTTGAAATTATGAGGAAAATATTTTAGGGAGAAATGTGAAATAAATTGAAAATGTTCATGGAAAATTTGAAATGTAAGTAATATTTATTATTTTAGCTTTTCCTGTAGCTTTTAAGTAACTTAGTTAACTTAGGAATATAAACTATGTTATATATAACCTAATGATAATATTAACTAAATTTAAAGAAATGGATCAATTTGTTATTAATTGCATACTAATTGAATATACATTAAAATTTTTAATTCTTTGTTAGTGATGGGACAGCATTCTGCTGAACTGTATGGTAGTTTTCTTTTTTTCCAGTTTCTGATAAATAGGCAAAATTTAAAGTCCCATGACTCTATATTAGAGCAGAGAAAGTGCTTTTGGGTTGTTGCTTTTTTTTCTTTACAAGGGCACAGAATTTCAGAAGTCACTGGGACCTAGAGATTCCATATGTAGTCACTAATATTACATATAAGTCTAATGTGCTGCCATAACTAATAGTGTACTAACTGATTACTCCTTCATCCTCCGAAATAATGAACACTTTTAACGAATAAAGAAAAACATATCAAATGCAATGTTTGCCCTCATAAACCATCTTATGAGTCTTGTTTTCAAATCTGTTGCAATCGGCAGTTTATTCTGACATTTCATTTTTAATATAGTGTATCTCTAAAAACTAAACATCTGCCCAGATTGAGACAAGCTTCTTCAACTTTAACATGTTTATTGCTTTCTTATTGGGACAAACATCACCAAACATATACTCTATTGTTCACACACACATAGAAAGCAAAGGGCCAGAGCTTGGGCCATGCCAGAGGCCTTCCCCAGCCATGCAGAAAAGATTTATCTTCCTGGCCGAATCATAAAACTAGACTGTAGTTTTAAAACAAACATCTGAAAACGTCCTGAATTCTGTAACGGGTTTGGAAGTACAACCACGTCACCAGATCCTATGAGAGGGGCTCAATTCCATAGCAGCAGAATTACCAGTTACATTTCCACCTTTAACATCTTAGATCTAAGTCCATCAGAGCAGCAAGAAACCAATAGCAATAAAATGCTCATTTCTGAGTAAACTGTCGGTTTAGTCTCGTCTATACTTCATTGTAAAGGCTGAATTTTTTCCCACATGAAACTATCTTCCTTAATATCCTCCTCTTTTGCCCCGAGTCCCGACACGGGAGGGGAGTTTGGAGTAGTTCTACCCCATGGAAAATTTTCCCTTTCATGGGCCTTTGGCTGCTGGTGTTCTACAGCACCAGCCCCACAGAGGAACATAAGTCACAAAGGGAATGGATGGGTCTTTAGTTATAATCATAAAGGAGGAGACAAAGTCTCCCAGGTCAAAAAGGGGAGAAAAAATACCTTCAGATTTGTTTTCTAAAAGGAGTGCTGAGGAGAGGAGGAAGGCACGTCTTTGGGAAGGCCAGAACAAAGGGTCAGTGAATCTTCAAGTGGAAGGGTTAGAGACCTTTTAGGAAGGCTTCACAGAGTGAAGATGAAGGGCAGATGAATGGGTTTGTTTGTTTGTTTGTTTGTTTATTTATTTTTTATTTATTTGAAACAGAGGAAGGGAGAGGGAGAGAGAAACATAGATGAGAAATCAACATCAACATCAACTGGCTGCCTCCTGCATGCCCTCTGCCCCACCTCAGGCCCCCAAGGCCACAACCCAGGCATGAGCCCTGACTGGAAATCAACTAGTGACCACTTGGTTCATGGGTTGGTGCTCAACCATTGAGCTACACTGGCTGGGCTACCTTAAGATCTTTAAGCTGAGATGTCTTAGTCTTTTATCCACATAAAGATTTCTAAGTAGGAGAAAACTGGGAACAGAAAATAAAATAGTAAGCTAAACAGCTTTAATAATCCTTGGATCTATAGTGCTGAAGTGAATATAGGAGTGGATTGGGAGGTAGTAGATAACCCCAGACACCCTGAATAAGCAAAAATGTTCAGTAAAAAAAAAAGCATACCCAGAATTACTATGCAATTATTATGTTATGGAATTTTACTATTGAGACCCCTTCCTAATAAGTCACTGTTCTTAAAACTGTCCAATATAGAAATTTTAGAATCCTTATTGTCTCAATACACTTTTTCTATCACTAATAAACTTTCAGCCTGAGTATAAATTTTTAGTTTTTGACAATACTAAAGGAAATATTAATCTTGTAAAGCATCGGTGATTAATTTTCTTTTTGACAAGGGATAAAACTATAAAGTGTTAGAGAGGCATGTTTTATGTTAGCTGCCTATACAATTGGTTGCTAGAGATACTAATTGGGCAACAACTTTTTAATCATGTGATTTTGGCAAAGCAATAGAAGAGTCTTCTAGAATCAAAACACTAGGAAGAACTTCATAGTCTGACATTTATATACTTAATGGATTTTTAATGCCTCAAAATACTTATTATAGACAACATAGCCTTCCTGGTAGCAATAAGTAGAGCCCCACCACCACCATCTATTCAGAAACTATATTTATTTATGTAATGTTGGTCTCATCATTTTAAGGAAGAAAACAAAAAAAATGAATTTTAATATATAACTTGGTCAAATATAATACTGAAATCCTTTAGACTTGATGAACAAATTACTTCTTTTTTCTGTTAGGTTGTTCACATGGCTTTACTAAAGAGCTGATCTATATAAATGACATTAATTTCACAGAGTATACAGATAAAATATCATTTAAGATTGCGTACTGATTTATAGTCATAATCATTCAAAAGAAACAGCTGTCCTTCAGCATTCTGAGTGCCTAAGGGCCCACATAAGCTGCCTGAATACAGTTTTCCAAATTCAGTTGTCACCCTTACTCTTTTCTGTTTGGCATGAAGAGTCCTTAGCAAGTATCCTAATATAGTATCTATAGAGATTAATGTCTTAATCCTTTGGGGGCAGATCATCTAAATTGGAAATATATCTCCCTTAGAAGTTACCAAAGTAAAGTGCAAAATAAATAACAGCTTAACTTTGTAATTATAATAGTCTAAATGTGCTCATCTCTATATATGAACTAGAAGCCCGGTGCATGAAATTCGTGCAAGAGTAGGCCTTCCTTCCCCCGGCTGCCGGCACCGGCTTCCCTCTGGCACCCAGGCTTCCTTCCAGCACCCAGGACCCAGGCTTTGCTCGGGCCACCGGCGGGCACCTGGGACCTGGGCTTCCCTTGCAACCCCGGCTTTTCTGGAAGGTCGTCCAGAAGGACGGCTGGTTTAATTAGCATATTATGCTTTTATTATTATAGACTAGAGGCCTGATGCATGAAATTCATGGAAGAGTATGCCTTCCTTCCACCAGCTTCCCTCTGGCACATGGGACCCAGGCTTCCCTCTGGCCAGAAGGATGTCCAGAATAACATCCACAAGGACATCCGGTCTAATTAGCATATTATCCTTTTATTAATATAGACGAGCCTTGTGTCCCCCATCAAGCCCTGCCTCCTACTGATTGGTCATTACACGTGAAGATGCGTGAAGGTGTGATGACCATTTGCATATTGGCCTTTTATTATGATGATGATAATTTGGGGAGAAACTTTTGACTAAGCATTTGAAATTAGAAAAACAGTTGAATGAATGTCATTTGTTAGAGCTATGCCAGTGCCTTGGAACCATTCATAATAATGATGCTTCACATTTTAGGATGTGACCTGAAATGGAAGAATTTAGAACATAAAACAGCCAGGGCTGTGGCTAAGGAAAGCGGCTTCAAAGCAGCAAGCAAAGAAATACGGCGGGCAGAGAGAACGGCTAATAAAATGGCCAAGCCAGGAGTCAAAAATCCGAATCCACTCTGGGCCCTTCGGCTTCATGATTGGTCAGTAGAAAATGAGGCTATACTTCGGGAAGCCTTTTCGTTTGTGGACAAGGGCGATGGGACAGTCAGCAAGGAAGATTTTGTGTTAGTGCTAGAGGAGAGGCAGGACTTCGTACCCTCCGATCAGCTGACCTACATCGCTCAACTTAGTGAAAAAGTCCGGGGAGCAGGGGTCAACATTAACGATTTTTTTAAGGGAACCCGATATTTAAGCAAGACTTATGTCTTGGGATCCTATGGGCCTAAGAAAAAGAAAAAAGGAATAGCCAAAAAGGGGAAGAAAGGCAAGTTCGTTTTACCCCTCCCGGTCTGCGTCATCCCTGACAATGCATTTCCACGCCGGAGTGATGGTGGGCCACCATATTACATGATTGAAACCTACAAGAATGTCACGGATTGCAATCGGTTTAATCGGGATCATCCACCAGAACATCCCATTCAGGACGACTCTGCTTGGTACATTGACGATTCAGGGAAGATATTTTCAAATATTAACTTTCTCACCAAGGCAGGAGACCTAGCTTCTCTGAAAAAGGCGTTTGAATCAGGCATACCGGTGGATATGAAGGATACTTATTACAAAACACCACTAATGACTGCTTGTGCAAGTGGAAACATAGAAGTGGTCAAGTTTCTTCTTGAAAAAGGGTATGTTTTTGGTTGGGTGAGGTTTAAATTTTCATGAGTCTTACTATTTCAAGAAAGTGATAGGAAAGCTAAGATACAATCAACTGCAGAATTTTAATAGCACAAGAAAGTGCTTCACCGCTGAAGCCTAGACTGCAGGTAGATCTTACTATTATATGGGAAACCAAGCTCATGGGAACATAGGAGTGTATGTACATGAAGATGTTTTGCCAGTAACAACTATGCACAAAGTTAAAGTCAAGAAGTTTTCACTCTGATGGTAGAAGAACCGTTCTGATTGGGTATCACAAGAAAAGTTAATTTAGTGTCAGATCTTTACCTAGTTGATGTGGAGTTGCTTTTCATTTTACTTTAAACTTAAAAAAAATTTATTGCAGTAAGAACATTACATGAGGTCTAGCCTCTTGACAAATATTAACTATCTGATATAGTACTATTGACTATAATTATACAGCAGATCTCTGGAATTTATTCATTTTATGTGGAGTCGCTTTTTAATCTGCCTCGTGTGTGTGTGTGTGTGTGTGTGTGTGTGTGTGTGTGTGTGTGTAGGGGAATCCCAACAAATTCCAATAAGTGAGATGTTGGCTATAATGACTAAAAACATTTTCATACCCTTCTCCAGAAAAAAAGCAGTCTTTCCCTTGGTTCATTTATAAATATATTTAAAATCTCAAAGCATGATATTTTCATTTAGCTTTTTAAAAATTAAATCTTTATTATTGAATTATTACATATGTACCCTTCCCCCCCGCCATTGACCCCTTCTAGCCTGCCCTGCTCCCGACCCCTAGCCCTTCACTACACTATTGTCTGTGTCCATGGGTTATGCATATATTCATACAAGTTCTTTAGTTGATCACTTCCCACTCACCCCTAACCCCCTACCCCCACCTTCCCTCTGAGATTCATTTAACTTTTTAATCTAAAACAATTCCTTAGGTTTAATTCCTTCTTTTACTATTGCTAAATAACCTGGGGTTAATTTCTTAACCTTTTTGTGCCTCAGTTTTCTCATTTTTACAATGGGACCCTAATGGGACTCTGCTCACAGAATTCATTGAAGATAAAATTAGTTATGTAAAGCACTTATTGGCACAGTAATTACATACTTGATAAATTGTATCATTATTATTACTATAAATGCAGAAATAGACTCAAAATGTAATAATATAACTCATATTTCCTGTCAGCTTTTATCTTTATTGGATTCAGGTTTTTCATTTTCCTTGATTTTAACCTTTGCAAAATTATAACCACTAGGATCTTAAGTGCCTTTTAAAGCTAAACAAAATATATATGTATACACAAAGATAAGAGTGTCTGATAATGCAGAACACTTGTCAAGAAAATCATGACATAGAGTTTAACTTGACTCAGAGCTTCCTTGGTTTACAGTTGAACAAGTTGATAAAACGATGAAGTCTTAGTGTTGTTAGCCTCCAGTGCTTGAAACAACCCATGTTTTTAGCTTGTGCATCTATTTTATCTTGTAGGGCTAATGTTAATGCAACAGATAATTTTCTGTGGACTCCACTTCACTTTGCGTGCCATGCAGGCCAACAAGACATTGTTGAACTTCTTGTTCAATCTGGAGCCACGATAGATGCACTTTCAATCAACAACTCAACTCCTTTATTTAGAGCCATTGAGAGCTGTAGACTGGATACTGTCAAATACCTACTTGATATTGGTGCTAAATTCCAGCTGGAAAATAGAAAAGGTATGTGTACATATTATTGGTGGTTAGGGTTAGAAAAGGAGAATTTATGTTCAATTCCAAACCCCTTCTGATTCTATTCTTGTAGGACCACATTTCCCCCTGAAACATAAGTGCTTTGCAAATCACTGGTGTTAAAGGGCTAATTCTTTGTGTTGCAATCTTTCATGGACTGATATTTTTGCAGAATACAATAAAAAGTGATTTACTAGAAAAATGAAATGGGAAAAAAACACACCCACAAAATACAAGTACAAACTTTTTTACTAGATCAAATGACAGAAAACTCTTCTATGAATTTGCTATAAAAATTTCCAAGTACTTACTCTTAACTCCTGTGCTTATTTCATTGTGGCCTAGTAACCTTTAGTTTGTGGACTTCACCAGTGTGCAAGTCATACCTTGAATTATCACACTGTTTAACTGTCATTTTCTAATAACTGGCATAGTTTACAGTCTCTGGATTTGGATTCCTTCTAAAGCTAGACAAAGTCATTTCTGAATTGAGGCTCTCTCTAGAAAATAAACAGAAGGCCTGTTTTATAAATATCACAAGTGAAGAATAAAAAATCACTTGATTTAGTATTTTAGCTTCTTGCTTAGAGTTATCATTTTCTTATAGTGGAATCCATTCTTTTTTTTTTAATTTCAGGGAAGAAGAGAGATAGAAACATCAATGATGAGAGAGGATCATTGATTGGCTGCCTTCTGCACACCCCCTACTGGGGATTGAGCCCACAACCCGGGCATGCACCCTTGACTGGAATTGAACATGGGACCCTTCAGTCCGTAGGCTGATGCTCTATCCACTGAGCCAAACCAGCTAGGGCCCGTTACTTCTTTTTAAAAAAATATATGTTTTGATTTATGAGAGAGAGGATAAGAGAGGGAGAGAGAGAGATTATTTTTGATCAGAGAACATTAAACCTCTGGCTGCTTCAGGCTGCCTCTGAGTCATGGGTAGTATTGTGCTAGGCCTGCCCAAGGACATTACAGGTGTCACAAATCCTAGCCACCTGATGATAGCACTTGTGAGCATCAATTTTCCCAGACCTTGTAGAATATACCTCCTTACATAATGTAAAGGGGAGGACAACAGAAAGTTGTCACTGCTTGGAATGAGAACCAGCAATCAGATATTCAAAATGTAATCTACCAATATTTTCTATCAACTTTTTAAGAAACATGCTTGAAAAAATTGTTTGGCCAGTAAATGGAATTGTAATTATAAGATTTTAGAGTTGGGTCCACCTTTGAGAATATTTGATCTAGCTCTGTGATCTTACACATACCATTTGCATTAGAAACACCTTTACTAGCCCATGCTAGGGCTGCTGTGCTGAGATAAGATTTTTTTCTACATTACTTATTATTGACTTGTTTATTATAGCTCTGAATTTTTGTTTTAAACAGGGCACACTCCCATGGATGTTGCAAAGGCATATGCTGACTCTAGAATAATTGGTTTGATTAAAGAAAAGCTAGATAACTTGCCAAAACCAACAGAAAGCCAAAAACTTGTGAAACCCAAGCCATCTATTAAAGTGAAAACTGAAGTTTCTGAAATTAAGAAAGAAGAGGTAAGAAAAACAATGATTACCCATTAGTAACTAGAATGCCTTAAAAACTTGTTGGGGAACAGGGCAGTGGTACTATTTACATACTGTTACACAACATGGACCGAATAATAGACAATTTATATTTTCAGCACCATTTTGCAATACTTTTAAAGAAATATCTAGCAAGGGAATTCCTACTACTGAAAAGTTTAAGAAATATTTGTTGCACATAGAATCCACACAAAAAACACATTGATTCAGCCAAATATAATTAGAATGTTGAAAACAGAACTGTTATTGGATAGGTGCATATCTGTATAATATATATATATGATATATATATATATATATATATATGCGCGTATATATATATATATATATAT